CACACACACACACACACACACACACACACACAGAATCAGCTGATTCTCTCCTGCTTCCTCTCAGATTTGTTCTTTTACAAAGACGTGACAAAAACCTGATGGAAGCTTGGGGGCCGATCCAGGATCCACAGTTTTATGTTTGGGACCACGTCGCCATCGCCCTGCATGTGGAGGGAGGACAGGTACCTTCACTGCTCCTCCTCCTCACACACCTGCAGAAACATCAGGAACATTATTGTGTTTAATCATCTTGAAGCTGGAGGAAGCTTTTTGATTCTTGTCTCTCTGAGTTTTTGTTCTTTGTGTGTTTCTGCCAGAGTTGGTGTGTTTGGAGGTTTGATGAATAAATGAACATGTTTACTGTAAATAAACGACATGTTTCAGTTGTGTTTGAGTTTCATTTTGTTGGTTTTTTGTGTAAAAATGTTGCTCGTCTTTTTCTCTCTGTTCATTTTCTTGTCCAGGTGCTGAAGTTTGAGTCTGATGATCTGAGAAAGAACCTCACGTTCTGCGAGCGTGACGCTGTGACAGTCGCACCTGAATCTGACTTTCAACATTACAGGGATGCTCAAAACCTGGTCGCTCGTTTGTGGCCACTGAAGAAGGAGGTTTCACTCCAGCAGAGGATCAGAGGTAATAAATCAATAATCAATAACAGGCTGACTTCCTGCTTTATCTCCTGCCGATGAGCTGTGAGCTGTAAACGTCTCACACTAACCTTCTTCATCAACAGGCGCTACAGAGTGAGGCTGTCTGTGGAGTTTCTCCACCTTTATTCTCCTTTTCCTGAGCGACTGCAGCATCACCGGCTGCACAGTGAACCATGGTGGAGGTTACACAGAAGCAGCAGCCGAGAGGAACGAACACAGAAAACTGTTTGATGTGACTTTTTTATTCGATTAGTTTATTAAAGGTTTATTACATGAATTTCCAAAGTGCACAGCAAAAAACCAAAGACAGATAAAACATAAACATGTGATTATGTGTTTCACTGCACTGTCTGTGTGTGATGTGTTCATGTGACTCAATCAAAGACTAATTACTTTGTACACACAAAAAGTGGACAATAAAGTTGTTTTGGATATTTTGGGTGTTTTCCGTGGTGTTCAGGTGTCTTCACTGCTCCTCCTCCTCACTCTTCACACACCTGAAGCTTTTCACATCAGATCATTTGTTGCTGTCTTTGTTAAATCAGTCCAACGTGTCACTAAAAGCGCTCCGAACGACCATCTACTCCTGATTCTGAAGCGAGGTGAAGCACATCAGCAGAGTGTCTGACAGATGACATTCAACTAAAATGCAAATAAATCTGTAACCTGAAAACGAACCCAGAGGACACTCTTCCTAATCTTTCGTTTAAACCATCATTTATTTCAAAAATAAATACAGTGGCTTGCAAAAGTATTCGGCCCCCTTGAACTTTTCCACATTTTGTCACATTACAGCTAGAGATGGCACGATACCACTTTTTTATGTCCGATACCGATATCATAAATTTGGATATCGGCCGATACCGATATGAATCCGATACAGTGTGTTTTTTAATCAATAAAACTGT